GTGCCAGGGAAGTCTGCTTTCATTTAGTGTCCTTACAGAACTTCCTAGACTGTTTTTAGATTTTGTGGTCATCCTGACACTGAAGTTTATGCTTTGGTAAGAAGGATACATGATTACTGTTTCTGCCTGACTTTCACGTGAAAGGAAATAGAAAAATCTGGAAGGGGTTTGGTGGGAAATGAGTTTTTTATTTTGATGTGGTCTCCAAATTATGTGCCGTGGCAAACCTTTAACTGGTGTATTTTTACTACACTAGTAGCAGTGAGTAATAATGGGTGATCCTAAAGGACTTTATGAATTATCAGAGAAAATGGTTTTACATTCAGCATAGCATAGCTTATGTATTCTCTTAAATTTTCTGTTATCTATAAACTTACCCATTAAACTGGGAGGGAATGTTTCTGAGATTCTTTTCCCTCAAAATTACTCTTTAATATGAAATTTCATTTATGGAAAAAGTTCTCATCAGATAGCATTTATTGCCTTAATATTTTTGGTAGATTTCACTTTTGTTTTTTAGGGGAAACTTGACAAAGCTGTACCTTTGTATGAATTGGCTGTTGAAATACGACAGAAATCCTTTGGCCCAAAGCACCCTAGTGTAGCTACTGCCTTGGTGAACTTAGCTGTTCTTTATAGCCAAATGGTAAGTTCCCACATTTAACTCTTTATGAATGAATGATTTTAAGGCATAAAATATAGATATAACATGAGTTATATATGGCACAGTAAATATAATCAAAGAAAATTTAATGTTATTTATTTGTAATGCATCCTTGTATTGAAATTAGATTTGTAAGATGGTTCCTGCCTCTTAGTGTAAATCACTAAGTGTTCAGTTCAGAGAATAGGCTGAGTTTTTTAAATTCTGGAGATGTCCTACCTTTCTATATATAATATTCTTTAGGCTTATGGCATTTGCCTGTGATGGATGAGAAACACGTGTGGTACCTGTTGGCAATAAAGGAACAGGTTTGTGCTTATATGATTGGATTATGGTCAAATGGTTACCAAGCCAGGTCTAAAACTTAGGTATCTGACTTTCTGTTATATTGCTGCTCCTGTAATTATTTATAAATTAATCTGTTTATTTATATCTTTTAGGAGGATATTAACATTTTTAAAGTACTTACCAAAGTAGGTCAGTTTATTCTAAAATATATTAATTTTAGAAATCCAGTGTGTTCAAGTGAGCATTATTACTTTTTTTTTTTTAATAAGAAAAAACATGTTGAAGCCTTGCCATTATATGAAAGAGCATTAAAGATTTATGAAGACAGCCTGGGTAGGATGCATCCTCGAGTTGGAGAAACATTAAAAAATTTAGCTGTGCTTAGGTAAGAATATTTTTCACTTCCTAATACAGTCCAACTTTTTTAGAAGAGCTTTAATTTGACTCATCATGGAACAGCACAAAATATTTATTGCTGAATGTTTTCTTCTTGCAGAGGGGGTTGTTTTTTTGCTAATCAGCTTCAAGAGATACTAAAGCAGTATCCAGAAGCAAAATGAAGGCTATGTGATCTATTTTGCAGATGAGTGTATCATGGCAAATAGTGAAGGATGGTTTACATTTGCAACTAAATGGCTTTGGGAGTAATATGGGCAATTTGCTGTCCTCAGAGCTAATTTACCATTAAGTATATGTTAACTTTTGCTTGCTCATTTGTGTTTATCTCAGGATGCAAAGAATACCTAGCTTAACTTAGCAATTTCACTGTATCCATTATAACATGGTTTTATGGTGTCCACATGAGACCCTGAAATATTCCACACTATAGAAAGAAGAGTTTGAGTATTCTATTTTATTGGTCTGAGTAAATGCAATGGAAAAAGAAAGGGGGACAAAATGGGCAATTATTCACAATGCGTTTTTCTGTATCCCATAAGGTCATTTATAATTGGTAAGAGGTTATATTCTCGTTTTAAGAGTTTTTTTTTTTCCTCTCAAAGTTATGAAGAAGGTGATTTTGAAAAAGCTGCTGAACTCTACAAAAGGGCAATGGAAATAAAAGAAGCAGAAACATCACTCTTGGGTGGAAAAGCTCCTTCACGACATTCATCAAGTGGAGGAGACACATTTAGCTTAAAAACGCATTCTCCTAATGTTTTCCTTCAACAAGGACAAAGGTAGTAGCCGATGCAATTCTTTGCCATTGTACTTTAAAACATAGAATATGACACTTTAAAAAAATGTTTTTAAGGAAATTTTTTTATACAACTTTGCGTGATTTAACTGATATTTGTATGAAACTGTATTGGACACATTGTTTGATTTGTAATCGTGTCAATTTTAGTTGTTTAAGAGAATTTTCCTATTGTATGGGCTCTGGATCCAAGGATGTAGACACTTTATTAATAGAATTCTAAGACGGCATGAGGAAAAGACTGGTCTCTGTTCAACAAGAGCTGGCAGAGCAGTTAAGGAGTTCAAGAATTCCATGATTCTTTTCAGCTCTCAAGAGCTACTTTAGCCTCACTATTCCTTGTCTTGTGTTTAAGCAGTAGTCTAGCCCAATTCTCTACCTCACAGGAAAGTTTCAAGGATTAAAAGGATAATATTTATGAAAGATTTGAATTGTCTTCAGTGAAATTAGTCAAAAGAATCCCTGATTGCCATATTTTTTTAATTCTTTTTTATTCTCTTTCACTTGAGCAAATTGGGCCAGTCCCCGTTTTCTGTACTGTCTACATTGTATATTGTTTATTACTGTGTAGCATGTATCTGCAGTGTCTGAAGTCTTAATGTATTAGTAGTAACAAGTCAAGCTCTTTAGCATTCTTTGACCATTCCCAAAATATAGATGACTTTCTCCTGTATTCTCCTTCTTAAATGGTCTAAATCTGTCTCTTCATTTACCTCAAATTAGTCTACCATGTTTGTACTGAAAACTAAATATTTTTTATAAATATTGCCACATTTTGGATATTGTTTTATACCATTTATATATTTAAAAATCTTCATCAATTTTAATACTTGTAAGATCCCAACATGTATTAAATGTAAAGAAAGATGTAATAACCGTACTTTACTGTTTTAAAATAAAAGTGCAATTTCAGATTCTCTTTTTTTCTACTCTGGCTACCATTCTGTATAATTTTTAAAGAAATACATCATTTTTAAAAAGACTTGAATATTAATATTTGCTGAGTACTTTGCTCAACTTAAACTTTTGGTTAATGTTCTCTGAGGCCTGGTTACTCACAGGCTGGTCCATGAACCAGCATCACCACCACCTGGGAGCTTGTTAAAAATTCATACTCTCAGGCTTTCTCTCCCCAGACTTACTAAATCAGAAACTGCATTTTAGCTAGGTCCTCAGGTAATTCATATGTGCGGAAGTTTGAGAAGCAATATTATAACTCTAAGGCACTATCGTGGTAACTTAAAAGAAATTAGGCAGGATTTTATAAAATGAGCATCCTTCTTCCCCCTTTTGGGAATTCAAGAAGGAAAAATAGAAAATAAAATATAACCATAACATATCTTTCTGGGTTTGCCAGCTGTGAAAGGCACAAAGTAACTGAATTCACAAATATACTAGACATTGATTTTAGAATTAAGCAATTAGAGTTTAAAATTTGATTATTTAGTGGCATAAGTAATTTAATACATGGTAAGTAATGTATTAAATTTACTACCATCAAAAACTGCCTTAGAAAATCTGAGACCAGTACTCTGGAACCCTGAAAAAAAGAAAAACCAGCTTAAGAATAATACGTATTCTTTGTATCTTTAAAATTTGGACTTGAAACATACAAAAAAGCAGAAACTTCTAATATTATTCAGAGTGACTTTATGGTAATACAAGTTATAGTTGAGATGATTATATATTTCAAAAGAATTAACTGTAAATATAATAAAAACCAAATTTTGATCTTACTACTTGTACTGCCTACTTAAATGTTTTCATGTAGAATGCCTACTTAAAAATAGCTGGGACAAGCATCTCTGTGTATGTGTACTTGAGGTTCTGAAATAGGAATATTATGTTCACATTAATATACACCCTCACAATGAAAAAGGTGTATATTAACTTTCAGACAACTCAATTATAAATCTGAATTGGTAGATACAAATTTTGCTTTGTTATAACCTTCATTAATCAATACTTTACAGAAAGGGAAATATGAAAGAAATGTGATGGGGGTCAAAGCTTCCTTAATATTCTTAAATGTCTATTACCTTTTTGTGTTGGTAAGTGTGTTTGTACATATCCATGGAGTATTTTTATGAAAAGAAACCCATAATATTCATTTTCTCTACTATATTTGAGTAGAACCATAAATTAACTTCCCAATGAGAAAGGAATTAAAGTTGAATATATTGTTTGTTTTACTATCATTTAGAGTCTCTGTGTTAAGGCAATTTGGGGACTGCTTTTCCGTTTTTCACATTAGAATCAATAGTATTTATAATCTGGTCAAACACTATAGTTTTACTTAGTGATGCAAAATTCAGGGATTAATTAACAGTTGCCTTGTTATGCAAATTTTTCATGGCACATAGACTGGTTAGGAAAGCACTCTTGGTAGCAACAGATATCTGTTACCAGATTTTTTTCTGGTAAAATAATCCAGTAGTTTTTAATGAAAGATCAGATAAAAAAAATTGCTCAGATAAATTACGTAAGATTTAGTACAGTGTGAGACACCAGCAGTGATGCAGGGCCAAGTTACAGCAGATAAAAGGTCTTTAGAAGATGGTGAATTCTAGATATTACACGTTAGCAATCATTTTATAATTACAAGTAAAACCTTACCAAATTCATGTACCAAAGTTTCCAAAGAATTATTTTAGAAAGACTTCCATTTCATTTTTGAAATTCAAAACATCCCTAGTAATTAAAAAGGCTGTTTTACAAATTTTTTAAAAATGGTAAAATACCTACCAAGGCGACATAAGTTTCATGGCTGGAAAAACTATCCCCCTGCTTTCCTGACTTACTATAAACGTAAGAATCACAGTATATTCCTTGAATCTCAAAACTGATATATTAAACATATTTGATTATTTGATGTTTAAGACTTTCTGAAGTCAGTTTTTAGAACTTTATTTTACAAATAGGGAATGTTTATTTTAATTTTTTACTAATATTTCCTCCCCATATACAATTTATATATTTAAATCTTCAAAGTAAAAATCATCAGAATAGGAGATTAGCATAGAAATAACCTACTGGTAATGGTTACACCTTCATGTTCTGAATATTTACTGGTCTTCAAACCATTGGGAATTTATTTCAACCAAGGTTCTCTAAGCCTCCATTATTTGTATGCAACTCCAGAGAAAACTAGTGTATATTAATTTACAGTTTAGTGGTCACAATCCGGGAAATGATACTTTTCCACTGAATTAATACAAGTCAGTTATTGCAGAGGTAATTTATAACTCTTATGCCCATTCTACAGGACAAATCTTGCCAACATCTCACTATCTATCTCGGGAATCAAATTTAAATGAAGTATTCAGGAGTAGCCTTTGTGATGAGAATAATCTAGATGATATTAGTCTAAATTTATACCTTGCTCTTCAGTAAAGTACAGTGACGCTGGATATATGTTCCATGGATGCAATGATTTCTAGTCCTTGCTCAGTCCAGAATAAAATATAATTTGTACTTTTTGAAAGCACCTTTATCTAGGAAGATAGCTTCCTTTTATTTGCCTTTGTCTTGTTTTGAATATATAATTCACACATTTACAAACTTTTCCAATGACTACATTTCAGCTTGTATTTATCAGGAAACATTTGAGATGATGTTATGTTATAGGTGAACTCTTTGAAATTCATTGTTGGTCAAATTTGTAAAAGTGGGTACTTTTCTTGTAGATGGCAATTCCAAACACAAGTAGATGTTTGCTAGCGCTAATCAACAGACTGTACCTCTTGTCTTGGCTTTCTCCCTATATTTAAAGTCATGTACTACTTTATTATCCATGTCCTCATGCAACAGGCCACAAGGAACTACTGGGGAAAAAAAAGAATATAGGATCAGATTGGTCCTTCTCCCTGCTCCAAAAGGCCAAAACATTTCAATGGCTATGGTTTCAGTAAGATCATTAAGTACCTACAATGGTCTTTTGATGTTTTTTTAGTAGAATGAAACATACATTTTAGGAGTTAGTGATTTAGTTGGGGTGGGAAGCAACAGTCACAGGATTTTCAAAAAGCATAACAATTCAGTTAAGATTATACATAAATTAATGTTGCCCTAAGTTTTTTTTTTTTTTTTAATTTCAAGAGAATAGGCTTTAACATGGGAAATAAAATATATGTCAGTCCATTATCTACATATTCTTCATCTTAGCCATGAGGTCTTCCAAGCTTTCACCAGAATCCTCTACTGTCACCTCAGGTACAGAATCTTCTTGCTGTCAAATGAATAAGGGAAATAAAAACCATATAAAATTCTTGATGCTTAAGAATATATAATCAGTAAGCTTTAACTGTACTCAACAAGTTTGTAAGTAAATTTTCTTTAATAAATATGCCTTCTAATTTTTAGGAGAGAAAGTCCTTTACTTTCCCCAGCTTTTTGATTTATAAGGCAGTAATTTCAATATTCCTGACATCTCTGCTAAAGTTTTTTTAAATGATATTGGGGCTAAAACTATCAATATACAAAAATGACATCTTCATTTTATCAAAATCTATACTTGATTATACTTGATTCATTCATGAGTGAACAAAACCATTATGTCTATGTTTTCAAACAGTTTAAAATAAATTATGAATATCTGCATATTAACACTGAATACCTCCCTCTCACACTTTAATGCCTATAGTGTACAATATATAAAACAGAAAATACTGCATTGGCATTACAAAATAGGAAGATGATGGAAGAAGATAAGTATACATTTTCTCTTATATGATATTTACTTATGAGTAAATCAGATTTTTGAAGTACCTTTTTTGGAATTGTATATGCCACTGTAATTCCTTCAGGTAAGTTTGGAACTGGGCCTGAAGAATTTTTCAGTTCCTCTTCTGAAACCTCAGATACCAGCTCAATACCTGTAGAGTTAAATTTGATCCTGTAACAGTTTTCAAGGAACTTGCTAAGCACTAATTATTCATATTTATATGATTTACATAATCTTATAATTATATTCCCTACCATAAAAGGTTTTGTTTTATGCTGCCATTTCATTTTATAAAAGAATTCCTACCCCACTCGTTATCTTCATGTATTATCTTTTCTTCTTCTTGTACAACTTCCTGTTTGGGCAGTGCTGCTGCCTTCTTCTGTAGAAATCAAACAGTATCAGAGTGTCTTTACTCATTCTCAGTTCTCTGAAGCATTAATCAAGAATTCAGAGAGGCTTTTTATCTTACCAAAAGCAAGACGGGACTTTCATTTTTGAAGTTATGGTGAATAAATTTAAACTATAAAAATCCAGAATCCATTTATCTTGGATTACAAATCTGTTTCTATTTTTTTAAGTTATTGTCCTATGCAGTATGATCCCTCATAGATTCTGACAGATTGACATATACCTTATATTCTTCCTGCTGTTTCCTGCAATTTCTGTCATCACACTGAGGATTTGGCTTCATGGACATAGTAGGAAAAAAATCCTGCATTGCGTTGTATCCAAGGTAAAAACTAACAGTACCAAAATTTAACAGAAACCTAGAAAAACAAATCAAAGTAGACTTAAATAAATAAAACCATAAAAGTACTAGAAGAAAGTAACTGAATTTTCAAAAAATGTTTTTGGAATAGGTAATGATTTATGTAATCTGCAACCCAGAAAATAAAAATTCTATCTTATTTAAAAGTTCTGCCTATTCATAGTAGATGCTTGAATATTGTTGAATGAAGGAAAGAATAAAACTACTCCATTTCATCAACTGTAGAATGCACTATTTTTTGAACGTCTAATAAAAATAGAATGCTTGCACTAAACTATGATATGTAAACAACTTTAAGAAGCATACTGATTTCAGAGACGTTAAAATGTGAGAGAAGTGTGTTTTTAAAATGCCTAAGATACGGTACTAAATCTACTTTAATTTTTTAAAAAATGTTATCTGTAACTTGCCAACTCCCCAGTCAATCTGATTCCTTTTAAAAGCTTCTGTATAGAGAAAAAATCACGTACAAAAGGTAAATGACAAAAGGACAAATATTTGCAAATGCATGTTCTTAATATAAAGACAAAA